ATTTGTTCATCTATATCTATCTATCTCATTTCTAAACATATCTATCTATCGTTCATTATCTATCTATCATTCTGTTCATATCTATCTATCTTCTATCTATCTATCTAATTTTGTTCATTTATCTATCTTTCATTCTGTTCTATCTATCTATCTATCTATCTATCTATCTATCTATCTATCTATCTATACACCATATATATTAGTGTATTTAAAAGTTTGCAACCACTTAGTTATTTGAATTTGGATCTCGGACTTTCATACTGTATTCTAATAGAATCTAATCAACAGTTACAACTAAATTGACACTGGAAGAGATTAATTATTATATAAAATAAATTTTCCATCTTTATACATTGATCCTATTGATCTACTTTTCTGTATTTTTGAACAGTCCCCATATATAAATGTCTTACCTTTAATAAAATGGGTTAGATATTTTTCTTTATTTGATTTTAATTATATTCAGATTAAAACAACCAAAACTGCGGTTGTTTTCTTTGTTGCCTGTTATTTTAGAATGATGTTTATCGAGATTCGTATTTAGTTAAAATATATTTGGAAATAAATACGATTTCAGTTAGAAGGAGAGATTCTGAACATTTGGGTTCAATTTTTCGTTTGCTTCTATGAAATAATCTGGAAAATATATAATGTATATATAATCATTATTTAGCAGGAATTACTTAAAGAAAACTCGATCTTTCTTAAGGATAAACTGGAATCTTTCAAGCCATAAATGTTCTTCACTTTGATGGATTTCGAATACTGATGAATGTGTGGCTCAAAGCCGGATTCATTTCGAGAAGAGTAAAAGGTGAAAAAGAAAAAGAGAACGAAAAAGAAGAATGGCCAATTGGGTCAAGATAAGCCAGTCGAGCGATTCAACTGACAAAAATCAGATGCCAATGTTTTGAAGATGACGCAAACTAGTTTCGGTAAAAAGATGTGGATGAGAAGTAATTGGCCAATCTGTTTTTTCGTCCGTTTAATTTACAGGATCTCTTGAAGTTGGCAAATCGTTTGGCATTGTCAATTTTGATCTAACACAGAACATAAACACACCATATAAACACCCACATATACATAACAGACATATACACAAAGGCACTCTATAGAAACACAAACACACACATAGATATAACTTACTGATAGCTGCACAAATTCATAGATACATGCACAGACCTGTGCATTAACACCTTGTTATCATGAAAGAATTTATAGAAAAGGCACAAGTAAGCTGTGGGAAATTGTCTGAAGGTGAGATGACATTGCAGATTTTTCTTTGGATTTTATCAAGAATCTTTATAGCAGAAGCACCAGACACGATGTGACAGCAATATTCAATGCATGGACGAATCGTAGATTTACAAATTTGTAAGATAGATTCTGGAGAGAAAAATGGTCTCGCACGAAATAGTAAGCAACATTCCTAGCAGGTGACTTAGCAATTGATTCAATATAATCGTTCCATTTCATGTCAGCGGAAAATGTAAGTCCGACATGGCGCAATGAGTCACTCTCCTGGAGGTTAGCATCAGCCATATTGATGGTAGGCAGAAAGGTTTCTCTCAGATTAATAATAACTATTTTGTTTGGGATGCGTTAAAATTAGCCATTCCTTATCCAAGTTAACAGCAGATTATAGATCATTTTTGAGATCAGCTGTTAATTGGGCCTTCTTTTAAATGGTAGTAGAGATATATCCATTGTTTCCTGTTTAGAATTGAGTTTCCGGTACTGTCAAGTCTTTTCATTTACTTTCACACTCAGTAGCCTCTTGCGTCTTAGTGCTATTATCGCCTTACTTGGGATGAATTGATTAAAAGAAAGAAGTTGGAAGTGAAATTATTGAAGAAACTTTCGAAAAATATGGTTAAAAGAATCAAAGGATCGAAAAATGCCAAAAGCATTGAAGATTCAATTTTAGAAACAGAAAACTTTTGTTTTTGTTAAAATATAAATCCAATAAATGATTTTATCGACATTATATACAGTAAGGCTAATGTCCTTATATTTGTTGCAATTATCACAACGTTTCGGCATTATAACCGGCCTTCTTCAGGTCTCTGTCGATCCAAGTAAACGGGGAATTTCGAACTGAACACTTTATTTAATCTGCGGTTTAGAACATTCTCTTTATGCTGTCCATCTCGGAATATCTCGTCTGGTTTCTTATTTTATTTTATTTTTAGTACTGATCAGTCATTGTTTCTACTGAGTTTGCGTCAGAGAGAAAATAAATTATTTCCACAAACCTAACTTTTTCCTCCAAAAATTGCAACTTTATAATTAATGTTTTTGCTTTGTTATATACATTTAAATAAAAAATGAACAATTATTCAATAAATTAATAATAATAAAAATGATTGACGTCACTCTTCCAATACTTTTCAACAGTTAGGAAAAGAGCGCGATTTAAGAAAAGAAACTAATAATAATAATAACCCCAATGCAGAATGGATCCAACGAGATGTAAAATGAATGCTGGATAAACTTTTTCAAGAGTGGGAAAATATAACCACGAATAATGTCAGGCAAGATCAAAAGAAATCCCCAAAATAAAAATCGTCAGGAAATGACTTGACTCTTTCGTCTCTCATCAATCCACAAAACCCTTGCATAAACTCTGTCAATGCTGTAAATAAACATTAAATTTAAGTATTCGAAGATGATTTGTTAATATTAAAATATTAAAAAAATTCGACGACCTCATACTATTTTTCATAAAATCCTCTTCCGTTGATATTGAGGAATACGCAGAGATCAATAGGTTCTTATATCTTCATTCAGGATTCAACGGAAGGGAGGCCTTTGAACTGTTTATATAAAATATTTCAATCGAGGGCCAGTTAATATTTTAATATTTTGAAATCATCTTCGAATACGTTTTCACAACATCGCCCACGTGACGACGACGTGATCATATTTAAACGGAACGCTGATCTTATATAAAATTTCAGTTATCTGTTTGGATTAATTGTGCTCTTATGTCTGGTCTTTCGTGTTGAATTTTATTTGTAGCTATTTGGCTGATTTTCGGCTTTCGCCGTCTGAAGCGGCTAGCGAGAGGGAGAGATTACGGAGGGCGACGTCCACGTTAACATTGAAGAAGGTCGGCAGAGGCAAGTCGCCTGGTCTGGATGGTTTGCCCTATGAATTGTACTTGAGGCTGTCGCACATCTTTGTTCCATTTTTATAAATAGTGTTCAACAACTGGTTTCGGTCATAGTCCATCCCCAACCGGATCACCAGGGTGTGATCACTCTGTTGAAAAAAGGCAAAGGTGGTTTTCATGGGGAACCTAGATGATTACAGGCCCATAACTCTGCTAAACACAGAGTTAAAGATTATGGCCAAGATCCTGCAGGAGCGTTTGCAGTCAGTTGCCGAGTCTCTGTTGGGACCTGAGCAGACTTTTTTGTGAGGGGCCGAACAATTCAGAGCAACCTGCATCTGATCCGCACGATCATAGAGGGTGTAAAGACGACGATGAAGCCGCGCTGATCAATTTGGATCAGTCCAAGGCATTTGATAGGGTCGACCATCGCTACCTTGCTACTGTCCTGCAGGCCGCTGGATTTCGAACCCAACTTCTGCCGCTGGATTAGCCTCCTGTATCGCTCCCCCAGTGCGGTGGTACAGGTGAACGGAAGGTTGTCGGACGCGTTCGTGCTGTCTAGGTCGGTTCGTCAGGGTTGTCCGCTGTCGCCTCTCCTTTATGCTTTGGCGTTGGAGCCTCTCCTTCGCCGGCTGAAGGACGACCGGCAGTCCGGCCCTACGTTGAATCGCTATTCCTGGAGGGTCTCGAGCCAGGGTTTCCGCGTACGCCGATGACGTATCTGCTTTCGTGTCGTCCCGCAACGACATTGAAGCGGTACAGAAGGCGCTTGATCGGTACGAGAAAGGTGACAGGGCCAAAATAAACCGTGACAAGTCGTCCGGCTTGCGGTTAGGTGTGCCTGGAAGGGGTCGCTCTTCCGGGCCGCTTTCGGTTGGACAGACGTTCCTGTCCGCATTCTTGGAGTGTGGTTTGGGCCTGACCTCCAGCTGGAGAAGAATTGGTCTGAAGTACGAGCAAAGGTCGATTCCGCCGGTCAGACTTGGTATCGACGGAGGTTGTCCGTGAAGGGCAGGGCGGAGTGTGTGCCACATACATTTTCCCCTGATTCTTTATCGATTGTCCGTACTTCCTCTCTGTAAGACCCACAAGAAGGCGCTCGAATCGCTCGCTATCCTCCATTTTATGGAGGGGACGCGGAATCGAGTCGACAGACGAGTCTGCACTAAACGTCCGTGTCATGGGGGGTTGGGAATGCCGCACCTGCCGAGTCACATCCGTGCCTCTAGGTTGGCTTTCCCTACGCCGCGCATTGACTGGAGGAGATCCGATTATGGAGGGGATTGTTAGGGACGCGTTCCCTGACCTTACCATCAGTCCCCCCATCTCGCGGGTTGAGCGCCGTCGTAAACCCCTTGGATCAATCGGTTTTCCTTCGCGAGTGTCGGTCGGCCTTGAGGGCCATTCCCCGGTCCAGTGACCTTTCTCGGCCTAGGAAGGTCTTCTATCGTGAATTAGTGGAGAGGCCCGCGAAGGATCCCCTACGAGATATGCTCGGCATGTCGGAGGAGGAGTTTCGCTCCCTACTGGTCTTGGGCGCCAGCGGCGGATTACCTCAGTAACCCTGAGTTTTCGCTTAGCTGGCGATTGGCTCGGAATCGGCTGCCTCTCAATGACATGGCTTTCATATGGGGGCCTGGCGGATTTGCCAGACTGTGAACGGTGTGGACTTGGTTTAGAAGAAACGGCTTCACACGCCTTCTACCATTGCCCCAGGTCCGCCCCCTTATGGGACCATGTCGGCGAGCTGACGGCTCGTCTCGCTCCCGAACAGCTTGTGTCCATTGATCGCGCATACGCGTGTGACAATGTGTCGCCCCTGTATTCCGGGATGAAACGGATAGTGTTTCTGACGCTGATGGCCACGGCTCGAATGGTGATT